TCTACCATGCTTGAGAACAGTTTACTTAAAAACTCCAGCTTTTGTGTTTTTCTTCGGAGTACTGTTAGCTTAACAAACTACTTTCCAGATGCAGACTTAAGGCCAAATTCACCAAGTCATTTTATTTATTAACAATTATTACATACAAAAGTTTACAGACATAAGAATTGTATGAATTGACCAGTGATTGATCACACACACACACATACACACACACACACACACACACACACACACACACACACACACACCCCTGCACACTTAGACAGGGTGTAAGTTTTAGGTCTTGCTCATTTTTAAAGAATGCCATGAAAAAAAAAGTTGTCAGTGTGTGAAAACAACGCAAACACACAAGAAGGTGTGGTGGACCATCTGAGTAGGCTTCATTAAACATATTATTAATTAGTTGATCCAATAGTCTTTAACTGAAAGGAGACAAGGAAAGGGAATTACGTGAAATGTTTGAAACATATAAACATCATCTTGTAAAGAGCCATTAAGCAAGAGCCAGCACACTGTGGCATTAAAAGTGTTAAATAAACTACTATCACCGCTCCTGCTTCCTTCAGGATAGAGGATCCTGTGTTTTGGATCTATGAACTAGCAGACCAGTTAGCATCCTGAAGACAATGGGCTCTGTCTAGATCTAACCCATACCTGCTGGGAAGAGACAATTTCCTCACACTTGGAACCCTGCAGTCCTCTAAGCTGCTTGCTCTGTAACAGTGCCAGCTGGGCCAACATCATTCTTCATCTCCGACCACCAGGTCTGATGCCTTGTTAGCCAACAACCGGGCGTGAAATCACTACACTGTGATCCCGCACTTTCCGCGTCAATCAATTGCCCCTCTTCCTCAAATACAGATCTGGGTACACACGGTCCATAAAGACAGGGGACGAAGCAATGGAATATTATGAATGTATCAGGGCAGCCGTAACATATCCATATGGCATATTTAATTCCATATGGGGAGATTAGTGTCTTCACATACAGCAGTTCTGAGCTGACTAATAAAAGCAAGACACGTGCTTTCAATGTCGCCATCAGACTTTGAACTTGCACAGGATATATAATGGAGAGAACTGTAAAGACAGATGTGTGGACAAGAACAGGCCCCTGTCAGCCTGCAATTGCTAACAGATTTGAGTGTGTCTGACAAGGCTCTGGGGTTGGAACGTATGTTCTTCTTAAGGAGTATTAACATTGCAGGCATTAGCTACATGCCAAGGGAAGAGAGTTTGGAGTGCTAAACACTATTAGACTGTCACTTGTGGGCCCTCAGCAGTTCCCCATCACACCCAGAATCCTGCATGTTTCTACGTGCCTGTGCTTAAGAAAGGTAAAAGGTCAAAACAGGAACAGGAATGGGGCAGTAACGAAAGTGACTTTTTAAAACGTGAAAGCCAGGATGCTCTGCAAAGGGGTTCTAGAGGGCAAATAAATGTTTTGAAATAAAGCTCTCAGTGTTTCTCCCCACCTGTTAGGGAGGGAGATGCTACCTAGCATCTGTATCTGTTGAAATTTCCTTCCTTTGACAGCTATGTACTTGGTGTCTTGAAAAAACTCTTCTGCCTATATTCATAGAATAGTTCTTCAGGCAGGAAATATTACTTTATGGCAAAAATCAGAGTGCTAAATAAAGATTACTAATTAAAAAAGTAAACTAAGAATATGGGCCCATCCAGAGGGTTCTAAAAACATGAGGTCTTCAATGTAGGGTACATACACTTTCACATATGGCTCACTGTGTTTTTCATAGAAAATTTCAAGTATTGTTGCTAACCTGTAGGATATGCTCATGGGTAGAAGCTATATCTTGTCTTATACGGTGTTTGGTAACAGAAAGAAACAGACCACCATTTATTGACATGGTCACTGTACCGTCGACCCTACAGCATGAGAGTTAACTATTAACTTACAAATTTCACCGTCCCCAAAGAAGCTACCAGTACATCTTACAGAGAGGCAGGGGATGGCAAATTTTTTAAATATGAATGAAATGTAGTTTTGTATCTACTCCATTACTTGGACTGCAGATTACCTTTAAAATGAACTTTTAATTTCACTATTTATGTTGAGTTTTAAGGTAACTATTACAAATGTGTGTCTGGGTAGATTTACACGTGTGCGTGTGTGGACAGACAGGTGTACACATATGAACTTTAACCCTAGATCTCTATTTGTTTCTTGGCTAATTCCTTGATAATTTGAATGTTAAAATATGCTAATGTGAAGATCAAGCATAATTAGAATCATAGATTAGAAGAATAGACATTATCATACCAAAAGAGGAATAATTTCAGTTTGTTGCTATGCTGGATTACTTATGGCCGTATCTAGTTTTTTTTATGCAGAAAAAAATAAAGAATGGTTTTGACCCTGAGACTCACAAACTCACATCATATATGCATGCTGGGAATAGCCACACTGATGTGGAAGATGATTATCACGCACGCAAACACAGTCTGCTAGGGCAAAGATTATATGGCTTATATAGAGAGAGGACAATGCACCAATAATTTTGAGTTATTTGAGAGGGCAAGTAAGCATTGCATGTCACTTATTTTAAACTTTTGAGATGCCCTTGACAAATTTCTACGTCAAAAAATGCTTTATAAATACAGTTAACATGGAGTTAGAAAAGAGTATTTTCTCATATGTGGACATTAGCTAGGTTTTTCTACTTAACACACAAATTATCTTCACATTGAGCATACTGGGGGAAAAGAAATCTGCAGGCCCACCTGCCATCTGCCTTTTTTCTGACAATAAGATACCCTAAAACAGGGTTCTCCCCCATCCCCCAGTAGGACTTCTGAGAAAATTAAAAGCAGCAGACAATGCTAGAATAGATGAATGAAACAGGGAAACAAAATATTGTAAATAGTATTTTTAAAATGGGGGGGAGCTTTAGTGATTTTGTGTGTGTGTGTGTGTTTGTGTGTGTTTGTGTGATAAAAGAAAACCATGGACACACAGAAAACAGAAGAACGAAGGTATTTTAACACGACAAAGCAGAAGTTAGGAGCAGCCGTAGAAAGTTTGTGATGTCACATAGGACATGAGCAGGTGTCATCATGGACACTGGACAGTAAAGCCAGGCAAACCCCTTGGAAATTTAAAAGGTTCCTTTGGACACACAGTAGGAAGGACCCAGATTTACACAACTGGTGCCATTCAAGACACAGCAGCTACCAGACAACAGCCTAGGCTCAATGACCTTGGGAAATTAAGGGCAGCTCTATCCCTGACAGACCAGTTAAGGAAACAGGACTGTCTAGCTGCCCTCCCTCCACCTTCCAAAGCTAGCTTCAAGACAGCCTTGAATTTCCTCATGGACAGGGGCCGTGGTGTGGCTGGCCTGGGAAGCCATTTCTTCATTTCCCGTCACTAACGCGGAAAATGGAATGTGAGCATGAGTATTAGCCATGGCTGTTGTCAACACCAGCCACTAATGACCCAATTTGGGAGAGGAGGGGTGGAGGGGAGGAGGTTACAGACCAACAACAGCAGTGTCTAAAGCTGTAAAAGATCTTTCTAGAGGTAATTAAAAGAAATTGTTGGCAACTTTGAAGGCTGGCTTTCTTGTGTGCAGCATGGCATGGAACAGCTTGTAGGCTGCAGACCAATGAATTCCAGTTAACTTTCAAGTCATGTCAGCATGCAGCCCTGGCTGGTTTATTAATTTAAGGTTCAGCCCTCTAAAAAGCTATGTCTAGAGAAATAAGGCACTCAACAAAGTACAGCAATACTGCTGGATCAGAACAGGTCTTCAGGAATTCAGGGTTACTGCATCAACTTGAAATCCCAAAATACGGAAGAGAATAATGGGTTGCCCCTCCTCCGGCATGCAGCTCCTTGGGAACGCGAGAGCGCTGCTTCTGAGCACACGCTGTACCCGTGCAGCAGACACCAGTGGCTTTCCCTGCCCAAGCTTCAGCAATTTGCTACACAGGCGTAAAAAGTGAACGTGAATGTTCAGAGCTTGAGCCAGAATGGAGCCATTTCCCCTCTTTGTGCTGTCTCTAACAGCTATCTTGAGTGTACAATTAAAGTCTTAAGGTGGAAATGAAGTGCTAGAGAGCTTATGATTTACCTTTTGATCATTTCTGCCTTTACATATTTTATTTTGATTCTTTACCTTGCTTTTATTTTATTTTTAAATAATTTTCAAAAAAACCAACAGTTGTCAGAGGCTCCAAGGCATCGGGGTGTTCTGGAGTTACTGATTAGTATTTTGAGAAATGAAAATTAATCTTCCTATCAAGAGATCATGCTAAAATCACTATGATATCAGTTGGGCTGCTCTGTTGATCATTCTAAACAAACAGGGAGAGCTGCCTGGCCCCGTCAGAACTGGTCAGTGACTAAGGCTTCAGCTAAATTCTGCTGCTCTAACTATATTTTTATCCTGAAAGAAATATTTATGAGATGCCAATACCATCCAAATATGGCCCATAGTGACAGCATCTAATACATGTGTTTCTTAAAACACCAAATGCTTATGCAAAAATCTCAGGTGTCTTCAGACCAATGTGCTTTCATGAAATTTACAAGGAACATTATCATTTTATTAGTAACCAACTGTGATATATATTTGAAGAACCAACTGAAACAATGACACTTCTGCCACATTTTCATGTTGAGAATTTTAGATTAAAGACAGATTCACGCTTTTTTTTTTTTCCTGACTGCATTCAGTTTTAATCAAGATTCCCCGGGCTTCTCACTCATACTGAAATTGTATTTAAATAGGGCCTTTAGGGTGTTCAAGTTACAGATTAATTAACTCAATTTGGACAGGGTTTGAGGAGCACTGTAGTTCTTGAATCTCTAATTTTATCTCCAGAGGTAGCCAAGTTCCTTTAGATATTAGCAATGAAATAATTGCATAGGCTTAGACTGATTATGATTGAAACATCTAAAATAAAGTGGGCTTGTCAGATGCAGAATAACAAGACAGTGATAAAGGCAGTAACGATCCACTGTTATTTTACAGACACCAGCTCACTGCTGCTGAGCTTCCATCCCGGACTCCACCCATGCAGAAGAGGGTTAAAGACACTCTCGAGCATGCTGTGCTGAGGACTCTGTGAGATGGTTCATGCTCCCTGTGGCCTCCGCATGCACCAAGCACTCTGGGAGTGAGATAAGGGATCAGGCTATGACTCTGTGGTACAGTGCTTGCCTAGCGTGTGCATGCTTTGCCTAGGATGTGCAGAGGGCTCTGGCCCGCATCCCCAGTGCGGAGGAAACAAAGGAGATGCTACTGCCATGGTCACTACTAATCTTACTGGGCTTTATGGCATGGCAGACGCTGGCGTTAAACAGAGTTTATGGAAAGTGGTTTGTGTGTCTTCTGATATGCTTGCTGCTTTTCTTCGGGGACCTATAACCCTCACAGAATCTGTCAAAGCCACTGCATTTCTTCTCCAGCTCCAAATACACTCTGACCGGCAACTCTTCTGGGCTGGACGAACCTTCCTGGAATGGGTTGTTGATTGTTAAGTACCAGATCTGAGGCTCCAGCTCCATCTCAGAAGCCACCTTCTCCCTGGCCACTGCTCCCCAAAGTTCGTTTCTCCCGCTAGGCTGCATTTCAGTTATTATTGTACCAGACAGTACATTGCACATTTGACATGGAATAGAAAGAGCTACCAACTTACTGTGGAACTGCTGGAACACGGGAGCTGTCTCCTACATGCCTGTATCGCTTAGAGAGTCCCTGTGATATGTTGGCATCTGATACATGTTTGCTGGTTTGTCTTCTGGCTCTCACTCGTCTCTGCCACTTATTCCCATGACGATCTTTTCTTCCTCGGAAATTCCCTTCACTCCTGGATGCCCAGAATCTATATGACAATCTTTCGCTTTGTGGGAGGCACTCTGCCATATGCCATGGAACAGGCAGGTTTACCTCAAAAGAAACTTTATGTGGTAATAAACCTGATTAACTGTCAGAAAATTTGAGACACGTCTAAGATGCGCTTCAGTAAGGCTCCGGAAGACGACTTAAGTGAGAGGTGTGTCCTAGGTTATCAGGAAGAAACAAGACAGACGCTGCTTCTCTCTTCTCCATCCACAAAATAAATGGAGCTAAAGGACACAGCCCTCCTCTGGTGGCAGGGAGATGGAGGGCGTGGGGGCTTGACTCACAACCCTTCCAATGGAAGCTGGCACTGCTCTGTTTTTTTTCTTCTTTCATTTTTTTAATGAACTGCAGAAAATCTGTGTTTTTACATGAAATCCGATTGACTCTAATCTGAAAGCTGTAAAACACTGAGTTATGCAAATGCTCCGTGGATGAGAGCAGTGAGATCTATCACACGCTTCCAGGTCCCAACTACACACGTGTTTCTACACGAAGAGAAAGGCACACGGTTGCAGGTGGGGATGCCCTGGCTGGTCACCAGGGAGGGAGACAGGCTCCTGGCACGCACCTGGCACTTCTGTCTTCCGGTCTGACCTTACGCTCTTTCCTGTCGGTGCTGACCTCGACCCGCAGCTCAGTAACAGTGGCCTGGCTTTCAAACACTGGTGTGTAGCTCATCAGAGCTCTCTCGTGTCTGCAGAGAGTAAATCTTCAGTCCTGCTTTTGAATTCCCATCCTCAGGCTGCTGCTAACGGGTTCCGTTCTACCTTCCCAGACTTGGCCAAGTTGTCCTTCACAGTTCAGCCCTCTTGAGTTTCTTGAGAACACTTGTGTAGGGGTCATGTGGCCAGTGAGCTACTCTCAACACTTGGGCATAATTTTAATTAATCTCCTGGCTATTGATCTCCATTTCAACATATGGCTATGCCACATTGGTGATTTCTTTGGAATGGCCACTACTGATGAAATTGTAATTATCGCTTTCAGTGACTGTTTCCTCTTTATCACTCTCTCGGCTTCACACAAGCAAGTCTTAGCCATCTCCTGCACCCAGTCCTTCATTTGTGCTTCTTTGTAACTGACTGAGGAAAAAGATCTCTTGAATTTCCCTTCTCAATCGCTACAGAACTCTTTAGTTCAGTCCTTTGACAGCTCATACCAGCCCAAGCTCTCATCTTCCTTTCTCCTTTTGTCGCCTTTACTTATCATTTGTATCAACTAACAAGATGCATTGTAAGGGGTGTCTATTTTTTCTTTTCATTCTAGATAAAGAAAGCAGAGGGCTGAAAAAAACCCAAACCTGGCATGAAAGATCTCAAATAAATCTCTTGTGTTTATGACAGATGCTGCTGAGTTCTTAGAAAACATTTCAGTTATTGAGCCCTTTGGACTGGAGTATTTACTCCAGAGTCTACATTCTGGCTTCCCACAAGCCGATGAGACAGGTAGGGCTTCATCGCTGGGAAAGTCAAGGTTCAGAACTGCTGACTTAGCTCAGGATACCACACTTGTAAGTCATACAGTGAGGCCCGGAGCTCTGGCCGCAGCTGTAAGCTAGGCAAAGGCCTCCACAGGACTGCCCCAGTTTCCGGAAGCTGCTGCAGCTCAGCGAAGCCCACAGAGCAGGACTGTGTAAGGAATGACTAACAGAAGGTCCATAGACCAGGCAAATATGGGGGAAGCTCTTAATGGCTCCTGTCTTTTGCCGAATAAGCACTGAAAAAACTTATCATTAAATATAAGAGTCCCATAGAAGGGTCTGGTTTGGGGCAGTCTGTGTCATTCAATGTCAAGGGCAGGAAAAAAAAACAATCTCTGACTCTATTTCAGCTTTCCAGAGGAAGTCACATAAAATATACTTTGAGGAAAGTCAGCTTGTTTTGTTCTTAGGTCTTTGTTCTTTTCGTATTTATCTTTGCTGAGGAATCTCTTCTCTTCGCGGTCCTCAGATCTCTAAGGACCTCATCAGAGCACGTGGGGCAACCCCCAGTCCTCCACACTCACATCAGTACTGCATGATTCTCTCGAGGAATCAAACAGGAGCGATTATGGGGAGGACTAACGGCTTCTCTCTTTATTCCGTTGTAAAGCTTTTAAAGTCTGCTTATATTTAGTGTTCTTCAGAGCTTTTTTCAAAAATGGGATTAATTAGAGAAAGAAGATTCAGCTTGGATGGAGGGAGGAAAGAAAGAAAGAGAAGGGAAGGGAGAGGGAGGGGAAGGGTGGGGGAGGAAGAAGGGAAAAAAGGGAAGAGGAGGGAGAGGGAGAGAGAAACAAAACACAGGTCTAGCTGGCTTCCCAAATCTTTTCTAAAACAGAGAAACAACACAATGGCTGCTGCGTTTAGGTCTGGAAACCCTAAGGGAAACCTGAGAAACCGTCCCTTCAATCTTCTGGCCATTGCGTCCTTTGTTAAAAAAAACATCTTAGGTGGAAGTATACAGTGTAAAGCAGATTAAAGTGGAATTACTTTGATGGGCAAGTTCAGGGGCTGGAGGGCTGCCCAATGCTCCCCTCCCCCTGCCTCCCGGGAGAAGCAATGAAGGGGATCTGAGGAGCAGGGGCTGCTTTGAAACTTGTTTTGGTCACAGCTCACTGTGAAAGAAAATGCATTTTATTAAGTGACTTAGTGTATGTAGTATGGCAAACACGTGCACACAGACACACACAAGCATGCACTTGGCTGAAAGAATCATTTCATGAAGCCTAACTGACTCCTACACGTGATCAGCGCAGGCAGCTCTTCTTTCCTATCTCCTTTCCTGCACCTAAGAGACACCACTTCAGTCTAGTACAGTGACATCATGCTCCGTCAAGGGAATTCAAAGCACTGCATTCATTACCCAGGAGAGTTCTGCAGATACAGAACATGGCACAGACTGCACGTCCACAGCCAGTACTAGGGGTAAAATGCAGCAAGAGGTGGTAGGTGGGACCCTTCCATCCTGGTGGATTCGCTTGTGGGGCACTGCAGTGCTGACCTAGAGTGAAGTCTGGTTCCTTCCCATGACAAAACACAGCCCAAGTTTACCTGGTTCCTATCTCATAAATGGAAAAAGCAGGGAAGCCAGAACTGAGACCCCAGGACAATGGTGCATGCGGGACCTCAAGCTGCAGTCCCATCACTTTGTTTTAGTTTTGCTTTGGCAAAATACCCACATCCTTGTGGGCATCTCTTGTTTTATTAAGACCAAGAGAAGAGACCACTGCAGTCATGACGAAGGTGATGAGATTGTCATCAGTGTACATAAAGTCTCCTTGCACTGCACAATCATCTCCACCATGAGGGGAGCGTCCTCTTGAAAAGAGCAATGGAGAAAATACGTCTGATGAGTTGAAAGAACATTAAAGAGAATAAAAATGAATAATTGTCAGTGCCTGTTGCTTCTCTCTTTGGGGTCCAGACATAGTCAAAGGTTTTACTGCATTTTTTTTCTCACTAATGTAAAAATTTAAAAAAAAAAAACAGAGAAATAAACAAATGTCACTATTTAAATGTTTGTCCCTTGTCACCTCCAATATCAACAAGAGGTTCTAAGAAACACACCCTTTAAAAAGAATCCAGACACCGTAAAGCTACAGCCAGACTTCAAACATATGTGCTTCCACACCACGTTACAAACTGGACTTTTATAAACTTCGTTCTACAAAAACAAATAAGACGAAGTAATAAAAAAAGATAAAGCCTTCATACAGAATTGCAGCAATTATATACCCACAGCTACACTATAACCCAAAACTTTGCAAGGGCTTTGATTACTGAACCATGGCTGAAGTGAATAATTTGCTTTTCACTAAGAAAACAAGCACATTCATTCCCGCCACAATGGAGAGAAGCAGTTTTAATTAAACCTTATCAAAAGATGAATAAAGAATAAACTCAATACCCATTCCACAGAACTCTGTTTTCATCTGTTTAGTTTAAGCTCGCCATGTTCATGCAATAATTATCCACTGTCCAAGGAATGCCGGAGTTGTGTTAATGTTGGTAAAGATTTAATTAGCTCAATTATCTGGAGAGTAGTGAAGTGAAGCTCACACAGTACACATTTCTTCAGGCTTTATGCATATCTCTGATCCAAAAACGCGAAACTGCAGTCGAGTGAACAAAAGCCTCTTCCCTCTGCACGTCCACCACAGAGACAGTTCCACACCTCGTAATTTTATTACTCCAATTAAACATGCAGTCTTCAGAAGCACAGCCGGAAGGCTTATCTCCGTGTATGTGTGTGTGTGTGTGTGTGTGTGCGTGTGCGTGCGTGTGTGTGCGTGTGTGTGCGCGCGCGCACAGTACATTCAGTCAACTTCCTCAATCTGTAAATATGTTCTTAGAAAGTTAATTAAATTTGCCATTTAGATAAATATTAACATCCGAAGTCCAACTCGTAAGAAGGTTTTCTTTTCCCCAACATAGCCTACATGTATTACCTTTCTCCCAGAAAGCAACACATTTAGACACTGTCGAAAGCACCGCGATAACAGACAACTGTTTCAATCTGTCAGACACCAGGGACAGACAGTAGGGTTCATTTCAGAAAACGGATTGGCCCCCAGCGACCTGACCTTCCTGCTGGGAAAGAGAACACAACGCCATGCTTGACAAGCTCAGCAACAAAGAGTATTCAAGTCCCCCCAATTCAGACATGCTTCTCACAGGGAAATGCAAAGCAGGAGACAGAACGCAGTGCTTCCAGCAAGGAGAGTTCACTGAGATCAGAGGCAGCAGCACCACCATAACCAAACCGACATAGTTAGCAAAGTCGCAAGCACCGTTTCATCCTCCCACTCACAAGTTCAGAAAGCTCCTACCGGCCATTGCCAGTGTCTCAACTCCCGGCCTCACCTACGAGGATTCCCGCCAGCTTCAGAGCAGCAGCAGCAGCCCCCAGACAGGGGCTTCCTGATAAAAGGTGCCTCGTTTCTCTGTCACTGAGTCCATAGCCTTTCTCCCAGCAGCCAGAGCCTGGGAATCTCTCTCCTCATGTGTTACCAGTTCTGCCTTGATTGTGGAAATCAGATAGACTTTCCCTGTTTTCATAGATACAGAAACATTTCTCATTATTTCCATTTTATGTTTGTATGTGGTCTTCCAAGAAAGTTTAAAGTGAGCCAAAATCTAGCTTAAAGATCAACAACTAGGAAGAAAGTGGTAAGGCAATGGCCTTCGTAAGGAAAGACTCACGCTGCATTGGGCACTATAAAACAATGCATGCATTTTCTCCAACTTCCAGTGTCAAGTTTATTTTATATCCTAGTTGATCAGTTACAAGGAATGTTTAGTTCACATGTTGTACATTTTACACACACACACACACACACACACACACACACTCATATGAAGATACTAGATTTCTTTACTTAGTCTCTATGTGGAAAATCGTCAATTCAAAAGGCAGTCACAACTGTTCATACTACCCTTACAGACAAATACACTGACTGAAAACAAAGTAAGACTGAGCATATGTTTTTATACACGTTTTCCTGACTTACAGGGATTAACAACACTAGGGAAGTTGAAGTAAGTCTTGAGTTCAGGTCCCTGACTGCTGGGATGGGAATGGACTGCAGACACACAGCTCACTACAAATGTGTATAGCATGACACACACTTACAGGCGAGAACACACCACTACATGCCACGTAGCACATTCCACGTTGGGAAGGAAGGAATTATTCTGAAAACTGGATGTAGACTCAAATCACAAACCCAGCGCACCAGATTACAGACAAGGCCGGTCGAGAGTGAGGAAAGCCGTATTGCAGAGCCGTGCAAACGGCGTATCTCAGCTAGGACGTGACCCTACAAGTACAGCAAATCCTAGAAGGGAGCAAATGACCCAAACTACTCAAAACTGCTTTTTATCTCGAGGAGGGGAGCATATTTTTGGTAAGTGAGCTGAGACCTCCTTTGTGTTGGCAAAGAAAGACTTAAGTGAGGGCTGGTTTTGCCTTGTTTGTGGACTGCAAGGAAGTGATGGAGGGGCCATTTGGCTTGGACCTAAAAGGGACTCTCAGTGCTTCAGCGTTCTCCGCATAAGAACAAAGGGGCTTGGGTTCAGGCTGCAACAAGAGTCATTTTCACCACACAAATTTCCTTTTTTTTTTTTTTTTTTTTCCTGCTGGTAGGAGGGGAGACTTTGAGCCCTCTGGGTTTAGAAGATCTTCAAACAGACAATGGTGTGCAAACAGCCCTCAAGAACATAACTTCACTGGAGCAACCTCAAGGCTAAGCCCAAGGCTTTGAGAAAGGCTTGATTTCCCTGTGCTCTTCACCCTGAACAAAGCCAGACCCACATTACTGACATCTCCTCTCTATGCGTTAGAAGGGCCTTTGTGGAAAAGTATGCAAATGCTACCCGGGCCCTCCTTTGAGCCTGTTCTTCCCTAGGTAGCTTTTCTCTGGCTGACTCCTCCAGCAGACCCTCCACAGCCTGGCTCTCAGAGACCAGCCTTCCAATTCTGCATCTTTGACAGGTCTGATAGTCAGAACCCTGGCCTGCCACCTCTTCTAAAAGGGGCTCACTTAGTCCTAATTAACAATTCCGTGCATTTCCTAAGTATGGTAATTGTGCTAAAAGCCAACAAATGCGACACTCATCCTACTTCCCAGTTAAATCTCTGGCCCCTCAGCAACCTCTACCCTCTGACTCAATGCACACATACACTTCTCTTGGCTCTTCTCTAGTAACCTTCCACATGAACGGGTAGCATGAAGGTGGAAGTTGGAAGGTAGACAGTTCAAAGGACTGAGTGGTGGGAAGCCGCAAAGAAAATCAAAGGGGTTTTAAAGTAGCACACAGTGTCTTCTGTTGGCAGAAACAGAGGCAGATACACACACACACACACACACACACACACACACACACACACACACACACCCCATGAATGTATTTATGTAAAATAGCCAGGGAAGAAGCAATGATTGGTCCTTGCAGATAAAAATCCTCAAATTCACTTTTTCTTCATCTTGTTTTTGATTTGCTACATTTTAAAATTTTTATTTATTTTACATCACTGCCACAGTTTCCCCTTCCTTCTCTCTTCCCAGTCCCTCCACCCCCACCCTCTCTGTACCCACCCCCCAATCCACTTCTCCTGTTTCTGTTCAGGAAAGAGCAGGTCTCCCATGGGTATGAATCAAAAACATGGCATACCAAGTTGCAGTAAGACTAGGCACCTTCCCGTGTATTAAG